GAACCATGGCGTTCTCAACTTGTCCATCGGATTCTGCAAAATGGGCCTCTGGCGCCGCGTGCCGACATCATTCGCGCGCCGTTGCGCGCGTTGGGTGGGGGTGGGGTGGGGGGGGGGGGAGGGGTGGGGGCGGGGGGGGGGTGCGCGATCCGCGTCAAAGAATACCGCGCGGGCCACTCGCGCGTCGGCAGCGCGCGCATGTCGAATCACCGACGCGAGGACGCCGTCATCGTCGTCGGCGTGATCAGCATCGGCGCCCGCACTGGCCGCGCCGTCGTCGTTGTCAACATCGCCACCAGAATCGCTGCTATCATCGGGGCCGCGGCGGTCACGCCATCGCGGCCGCGTCGGTCGCGCCAAACTACTTGCCCGCTGCGCGCTCGTGCTTGGGTCGGCGCGGCCGCAGACGTGGACCAGCCTACGTCAAGCGCTCATCACAGTCGCCACTGCATGGGTTTTGCAAGCCAAGTCGCGGGTGGGTGGGTGGGATGATTGCGCGAGCACTGCAGGTGGTCAAGCGCGGTGCTGGGCAGCCAATGGCTCACCATATATTCTCGTTTCTAATACAGATAAGTTCTTCCCCCCCCTGGTTTATCCATTCACCGGGAAGCGATGTAAAACGTATAGGTTTCCGATCCATCGTCCATCTTAAATATGAATTTTTCAGTAACCCATGGGGGGCGGTATGGCCCCCCCCCGCCATCTTCTGCAACATATAATATGCGCGCGCACTCGTTCATCAAACACCATAAGTTTCCAAACGTCCGTTGCGACAAATGCTGCAATGTGCACGCGCGCGCGTCGTCGCGCGCGCATGCCGGAATCATTCAAAAATTCTCGGTTTCCGACGGAGAAGGATTTCAAAATTGGGTTTCGAAACAAAGACATACAAAACACATGGCTTCGCAACACGGATGTTCTAAATCAGTTTACACGCGCCCTCTTGCCAAATCTAGAAAAACCATAGGTTTTTCGACATTGCCAACAAATTCTGCCAAACGGGCTTCGTGCGCGCGCTATCGAAATCGTTCGAACGCCCTTGCGCGCGTGCCGTCGCGAGAATCCTCCAGCAAAGATGGGACGAAGTGCGCGCGCGCGCGTCGTCGCGCGCGCATGCCGAAATCCTTCAAAAACCTTGCGTTGTGGAAGGGTTCCAAAGTCGAGTGTTCAAAAGACATACGAAAACACACGGTTTCGCAACACGGATTTTCAACAAGAGCGTGCGCGCGCGCTCTTGCGTCGTCGTTGTCGTTGTCGTCGTCGCCGTCCTCCCTCCTCTCTCGTCGTCGTCGTCGTCGTCGTCGTCGCCGTTGTCGTCCTCTGTCTTTCCTCGTCGTTGTCGTCGTCGTCCTCTTTGGCGTTGTCCCCGTTTCCGTCGTCGTTGTCGCCGTGGTCGTCCTTCCTCCCCCTCGTCGTCGTCGTCGTCGTCGTCGTCGTCCGTCGTCGGCGTCTCGTCGTCGTCCCTCCTATTTCGTCGCCGTCGTTGTCGTCGTCGTCGTCGTCGTCTTCTCTCCTCCCTCGTCGTTGTCGTCGTCGGCGTCGCCGTCCTCCCTGCTTCTTCGTCGTTCGCGTCGTCGCCGTCCTCCCTCCTCCCTCGTCGTTGTCGTCGTCGCCGTTGTCATCCTCCCTCCTTCCTCCTCCCTCGTCGACGTCGTCGTCTTCGTTGCTGACGCCGTCGTCGTCGTCGTCGTCTTCGTCGGCGTCGTCGTCGGCGTCGTCGTCGTCGTCGACGGCGTCGGCGTCGTCGTCGTCCTCGTCGTGGGCGTCGTCGTCGTTGTCGTCGTCGTCGTCGTCGTCGTCGCTGTCTCTGTCGTCATCGGCGTCGCTGTCGTTGCCAAATGCCATTTGGTACCCACCGTCACAATTTTAAGAAGTCTTGCGACCAAGTTGCGGGTGGGAGGGTGGGATGTTTGCACGAGCAGTGGAGAGGACAGTTTCAAGTCAGTCAAAGTGACTTGCACCACATAGGTTGCACCACGTATATTGTTCCCCGTAGATTTGACAACAAGTATGGTACCACATGATTGCACCATACCGTCTGAACTGCGGAGTTTGCACAACATATATGTCACAACAAGTATGTTTCGCTGGTTGGGGCCCACGCTGGCTGACGCAAGTCTAAATGTAGAGACAGAGAGAGTTCAATCCTGACAGAGTGCGCGTGAATGAGGAAGACATAGGCACTCCGTTGTGCCAGGAAGGTGGGCTCGACGTTGAATTCAGTTCTCTGCTTGCTCCCGTCCCGCGTCGAACGCTTGCCATCTGCCAGCCTGCCTGCTCCACCCGCGTCCTCAACCCCCTTCTTTGTCTCCCCGGCACGGGCTGGCCGCGCACGGCCCGGGCCCTCGGGCAGTCTCTGGCCGCTCCGCGCGGCCTTGGAGGAGGAGGCTGGCAGCAGTATCGAGGTGTCCCCGGATGTGGCAGCAGTTGCAGCGCACATCCCAGCAGGGGCACGTCGGCCTCAAGGATATGAGCGGTGCGGCCGCCTTGGACGAGGCTGGCAGGAGCATCGGGGCGTCGCCGGATGTGGCAGTCGTTGCAGCACACCCCCAGCAGGGGCACGTCGACCCCAAGGAGGTGAATGAATGGTGCCGCCGCCTTGGAGGAGGCTGGCAGGAGCATCGAGGCGTCCCAAGATGCGGCAGTCATTGAGCAGTAAACTCCCAGCAGGGGCACGACGACCTCAAGGAGGTGAGAGCGGAGCGGAGCGGCGCTCATGCAAGAGAGACCGCCGCCGAGGCGCGCACGCCGAGGAGGCCCGCGCAGGGCCATGTGCACGCAGAAGTTCGACCTCCAGGGCGCATCCGACGAGATGGACGACTCAGTCGCCCATCGCGTCGCCTCGCCCACCACAGCATTCAACCACTGGATTGTCTGACATGGCTGGTCGCCCCGCGCCGCCCAGCTGCCCGGCGTGCTGACTGGCGTGAGTGCCTACAGTGCTCATGCATGGGGCGCGCGGTTGCCTCGGAGGCGCCCGGGACGCAAGGGGCGACCCAGTGCTGCGGCCTATGGCTGGCCGCCCCACGCCGCACTGGCGCTCGGCGTGCTGGCTGCGGAGTGCGTGGGGTGCCCTGGAAGGGGAGCGCGGCTGCCTCGGGGGCGGCCGCAGCTCGCGCCGCGTGGTGCGCTGCCCTCGAGGCTCCCCCCTCTTGGGGCGCGGCGGCGGCGGCGAGGTGAAGCTGCAAGCTGGAGATGCGCGAGCGAGTGTGAGGAGTTCTCGTCCGGGCAGCCGCGCCCCGGGCCCCGAGCGCGCGATTCGCCAGGGAGGTATCGGGCGTGTGTTCCACAGGGGAGCTGCCAGAGGAGCCTCCTCAAAGCCGAGCGAGGACGAGACGGAGAATACGTGTGCGCAAGGACGAGGAGGAACACGAGGAGGCGCAGCACGACCACGAGGGGTGGGAGTTCTCCGCTGCAGGCGGGGCTCCAGACGCCCCCCCCCAAGCTCCGCCAGCCCAGCTGGGCTTTCTACGTCGTCGATTCTTGTGACCACGCCCCGCACGCCGGCGGCGCGACATGCACGGCACATGGCGCAGTGCACGGGGCGACCCACGGCACAGCACGACATAACGCACTGCACGTGGCACGGCACACGGCACGGCACCCCGAGGTTCTGGTCCTTGGCGCGGCGGCGTAGTGCGCCCACCAAGAGCCGATCGGGCCCAGCCGTTGCGCGACGAGTGCCACCTGGATTCTCCTGCCGTGGAGCGGAGGCCCGCGGTCCCTGAGGGGGGAGGAGGAGACAGGACGAACAGGAGGACGAAACGTATGATGATGATGATGACGATGATGTTGATGATGATGATGATGGTGATGATGATGCTGATGATGATAATGCTGATGATGATGATGATGCTGATGATGATTATGCTGACTACGATGATGCTGGTAATGATGATGCTGATGATGATTATGCTGGTGATGCTTGTGATGATGATGCTGATGATTGTGATGCTGATGATGACGACAGTGATGATGATGTTGCTGATGATGATCATGGTGGTAAATATGATGCTGGTGATACTGCTGCTGATGCTGATGCAGATGCTGCTGATGATGATGGTGGTGCTGATGATGATGCTTTTGATGATGACGACGATGACGAAGCCGATAATGATGATGGTGATGTTGATGATCATGATGCTGCTGCAGATACTGATGATGCTTATGATGGTGATGGTGGTGATGATGATGATGAGGATGATAACGTTGATGAGGATGATGCTGCTGATGATGACGATGATGAAGACGATGCTGATGCTGATAATGATGATGCTAATGCGGGTGATGACGCTGATGATGATGGTGATGCTGATGATTGTGATGCTGATGATGCGGCTGATGATGAGGGAGGTGGTTGTGTTGGTGATCATGCAGCTGCTGCTGTTGATGATGACGATGCTGATGATTGACGATACTTATGATGCTGATGATGACGACGATGATGTCGATGATGATGTTGATGATGCTGATGATGATGAGGTTGACGATCATGATGATGATGATCATGATGCTGTTGCTGACGATGACGATGATGACGCTGGTGATACTCATGCTGATACCGTTGATGATTATGATGGTGATGGTGATGGTGATGATGATACTGCTGATGATGGTGATGAGGATGCTGATGATAATGATGATGCTGGTTATGATGATGATGATGATGATGATGCTGATGATGATGATGATGATGCTGAGGGATCAGGACGAGCATGAGGATGAGGGCTTGGACCATGATGAGGATGAGGATGAGGATCAGGATGAGGATGATCATGAGGATGATCATGAGGATGATGATGCTGGTGATGGTGGTGGTGCTGCTGCTGCTGATGATGATGATGATGATGATGATGATGATGATGCGACTGTTGATGATGATGAGGAGGAGGATTAGGAGGAGGAGGCAGGACAGTTGCGCCATGACTTCGCTGCCACCGGCGCCCCTCCGTCGCACGCACGTGATCCTGGCAGTACCCCCCTATGCGCGCGCCCGCCAGGCAGTCAAGCAGGCCTGACCGTCCCCCAGGCTCCGCCGCCAGCGGAGAGACGTCGGGAGCGGATGAGGTGGATGATGAGGAAAAGAGGAGAAGGGGAAGGAGAGACGATTTGGAGAGGGGGGAGGAGTAGGAGGAGGAGGAGGAGGAGGAGGAGGAAGAAGAAGAAGAAGAAGAAGAAGAAGAGCGGCCTTGGGGGGCGGAGTCTGGCGTGTGCCTCGTTCGCTAGCCCGAGCCGTCGCCCGCACGGAGCGGGCGCCTTGACTCAGCTCACGGCGTCGCGCACGCTGAGCTTTATACCGACCATGGCGTAGATAGTCGGCCTCCATAGTAATTCATAGTCCTGCGAGCGAGGCAGCCAGCTCATCCTCCATGACTCCCGCTGGTGCCTTGCCCTCTTTGACCACTGCTCCAATCTGAAGTAGTGCTCGGTGGATTGTATGCTTGATGTTGGTCCACTGCATCTGCTCCTGCGTCGGATCCTCCTCGTTCTCCGCGTCCGTCCAGGAGCCCTGCTCGATGTACAGCGTGAGCTTCGCTTGGTTGGAGTCGAAGCACTTGCTGATTTTGATGTGTTTGACTTTGCGTAGTACCGTCGCTGCGTTGATCTTTTCCAGGAACTGGCCGTGCTCCGTGAGTAGCGCCCTCGATTTGGCTCCCACGTCCTCTGAACAGAGGGTCATAATAAGTGTCATGTAGAGATGCCCCTCTGGTGGCCCTAAAGCGTGTCCTTTGCCCTGTTCCCTGCACTTCTCCGCGTAGAGTTTGCGGTTGGTCTTGAGGGCCTTGACCACGTTGTTCTGAATGGGCAAGAGGTACGTGCTGAACACCGCTGCCACCATCCAAGCCAGCTGCTGCGTGTTGGCGAGAACTTGCTTGATGAGTACTGTGAGGAGCGTCTTGAGCTTGGGGTCGACTTTGGCATGGTAAGCTTCTCCCCCTTTCTTGGAACGAACTGCCCGGGCCCCTTGAACTGCTGCTGTGGCTGGTCCCCCCCCCGTAACTGGATCTTCCTCGGCCTCCATGGCCGCTGTGTCCTCGCCCACGCCCTCCTTGTCCTTGTCCTTGCCGCCCCCGCCCTTGCCGCCCTCCGTGCCGTTGTTGAGCTTGCGGTCCTTTTGGCTGCGCTCTGAGCCCGCGAGGCTGCTGGTGTCCTGCGCGATCTGCTGGGCACAAGCCAGGTCATCGGCATGAGCAAGTGCTAGCTGAGCTGTGGTGGTCCCCGCGTCCAGTGAGATGGCATGTTCTTCGACAGGTCGGTGCAATGCACAAAAATGATCCTGCAAGGTGAGTAGATGCTGAAACGGCTGCAGTTCGGGACGGAGCGGGCTTGTGTAATCGTCGACGTCGATCAATGGATGATGTAGGCGTGTGTTGTGAGCGAGGCATCTCTTGTTCTTTCGTGAGCGCAGCATATGTTCTTCGGCTTGAGCACGGTCCAAGCAGGTCGTGCGGCACAGCGGACATTGATTAGTGACTGTAACTGCAGCGGCTGCGGAACGTAACCCGTGCTGACCACCTCTGGTAGCTGTCTGATGCGAACAGAGACCCGCCCACGTTTGAAACACACGCCTACAGATTTCACCTGTGTCCGTCAACAACTCGCATTCGAATTGACCAAGTTCGTCGCCATCCCGTACTTCAGCAGCGGCCTCAAAGCCGGGTGGTGGCATAGCGACGGCTGTAGCATTGGCCCTGAGCTCGGAGGGGTCAATGCTGAGAAATGCTTCTGGAACCTCTGCGTCGTGATAAAGCTGAGTAACGCTGCCGTCCCAGATGTAGCTGAATTGCTCTGCGGTGTCGAGTACGAGGAGCGAGCTCACATCGTGAAAGAATTAATGTCCTTGAGAGTGCCGTCGTCGTTGAGATCGCTTGCATCGGGATCGATGTCCTTCTCGAACTGCGGAGTGCCGAAGAGGGCAGTGATCCACTGGTCGTAGTCGGCGCGGTACTTGACAGAGGCCTGGATCACACGAATGCGCCTTACACGCATCTCGACGAACATGGGGGAGATGCCGCATAACTTGAACACTTCTATGTTGGTCATGCTCTTGTAGCGTCCGTCGTCCTGCTGCGTAGTAGCCCTGCCATGCATGAGCACCCTGAGGTACTTGATGAGTGTGATGTCCAACCTGCGCAGCTCGGTGTCCGTGATGAGGTAGGGCTCCATGCCGCTGGCCGCGGCGCCCACTATGCGGTTGATGAAGATGATGCGCTTGAGACGCCATGGGGCACGCCTGTGCCAGAATTTACCCATGATAGCCCAGGCCTTCTTCATACTTTGAATGCGGCGGTCGATCTCTATCGTGTTACTTCCTCCATGATGAAAGTAACCTCCGAGGTACTTCATGGTGCGTAGGACTCGACCTGGCATGTGGGCTGCGAGGCTGCGGTTTTCTTTACGTGTGCGAAGGCCTCCAACAAATTCCTCCTTGTCTTTGTTCTGCGAGTAACCGTACTGCGCGAGCTTGTCATCGAGGATGCTGTTGCTGGAGTTGGGGGTATCTGCGGCTGCTTTGGCTGTACCTTTGCTGACAATGTGCATTTTGAGTATGTCGTCAACGTAAAGGTAGGCCGAGAGGTCAATCATGTTATGCGTGGTGGGGGAGATGGTTGCGAACGGCTTGGAGTCTGATAGGGTCGCGTCGGGCCACTGGCCGATTGGCTGCTCGTAGACAAAGTTGAATGAGGTGGGTCCTGTGCTGCAGCCAGGCATCACTCCTGAACCTAGAGAGAAGTCTCCAGACTTGTCGCATCCGTCTGTCTGCACCGTAGCGCAGCGATACCGCTGGGCAAACAACCGCTGTTCTGTGTCTGCCAAGCGCGGAGGGGTAATCTCGACCGTTTTGTCGATCATCGTGCTCGGGAAGGCGTTGGTGGCGTCCTTGCTGCCAACAATGAAATCGATGTTGGAGCGCTGCAATATGGTGGCCATTGTGCGCGATGCAGCCATTGGAACTTCTCTGCGGCGGCGTGGCCAGCATCCGTGAGCATGAGGAGGAGGTGCCCACGGCAGTGACTGGCATTGTAGTTGACGGTACACGCAGCGCCAGAATGGACAGAGCATGCGCAGTACACGCAATCCTTGAACTGAGGGCTTGGCGCCCATCTTGTCTAGCGTGAAACTTTGGCTGCGATGAGCGCCCAATGGAGCTAAGCCGACCCGATAGACATGATCGAGCAGCTCTGAAGCATGTGTCTGTCCAGGGCGCCTCCATCAGCTCCTCGTTGTAACCGGGTCCTTGGGCCTGCGGCTTCCTCTTTGTAATAACTGTAGGCTGCAGGATGATCTGGCAAATTTCTAGTGGTAACGACCACTCGGGAACTGAAGCTTGTTTTTTGAAGTATTTGAGGCGCCTCTTGGCTCCGAGGTATCGCTTGCCCAAGTTCCCCTTCGCCTCGTAATACTCGTGCTTGATCTGCTGCTTGACGTCGTCGCCCAGGTCCTCCATGGCGGTCAGGAGCAGCTTTTTCTTTTCCTCGTAATCAATGGGTTGAGCCTGAAAACCTCCGCGAGCCCCTGTGAGTGCCACGTGCGTAGTCCACTCGGCGAGGCTCGGTCCCGAACGGGTTGCCCTGCTGTAGTTGCGGTTCCTCTTGCCGTAATTGGTTCCTGCCAAGCACCTGCTGAGTCTATGTATTTCTGCGTGCTGCCTTTTTTTGCCATGCCTCACAAATCTGTGTCTCTAACGTTCTCTTGCGCTCTGCGTCGTGAAGTTGCTTCTGCTTCTTGATAGCTCTCGTGAGTATGTCCAGCTTCTCCTCGATGTCCAGGTCGATCGCTTCGCCAATGTGCTGCTTGCGTAGCTCCTCCTTTTTTGAGGAAAAATACAACAGTTCGAGCTTCCCTGTCATGAGCTGCTTGTTGGTACCTGGCTTGTTACGTTTCCTCTCGAAGAAGGGCTTGGCAGTGGCCTTGAGCGTGTCGATCAGGAACTGCCAGTGCGCGTCTGTGGTGCACTGCTCCTTGAGCTCACGAGTGGTACCTGTGTTGTTCGCCAGCGCGGTCTCTGGGGCTGGGATGAACTCGCTGCGATAAGCTCCAGTCTGCAGAGACTTGGCCATTTTGTCGAAATCCCAGAGCGTGCGATGCATGCCTGTGAAGTTGTTGGGCATGGCGATCTCGGCGCTTGCGGTGAGTGGCCCCCCTTGGCACGTTGTCCTTGGTCTGCTGAACTGCTTTAGCTGCCTTCCACCAAATACCGCATGTCTGAAGATTCTGCAGTCGCCCTTGAGGAACAACGAGGTAGTCGGGTCTCGTGGCTTGTCCTTCTGCACCGTAGTAGGTAGGGCCAGCATTCCAGAAGGTATTGGCAAGGCATAGTCCGTGTACGTCCAGCATGTTATAGAAGGCGGCCGCTGCTTCACCTGGCCGTGCGCGTGGTTGCGAGTCGCCGTAAACTTCATTAACTTCAGCCGCAATGAGTCCGTCAGCTCCGTAATGATCATTGGGGTCGATACCGATCAGCGGTGTGCTGCGCGTCGGTGTGTCCTGAAGCGTCCTGTGGATCCACTTGAGCGTCTCGTTGACCGTTTTGACCCACTGGTTGTGGTTGGCCGCAAGCCCCGAGCGAGGCGGGACGTAGGCCACGATGAAGGTGAGGTCGAGCTCGCCCCGCCTGATGCGTAGTGTGCCAGCGCGGCCTTGAATCTGCTTGGGCGGGCTCTTGATATCGACGACGGCTCTCGGACCGAACCTCTTGCTGCTCACCATGGTCGCGACGCCAGCATGACTGTTGGTGAGAGGTCTGCGGCCATAGCCCCACGTGTAGACAGTGTGGTTGAGAGTCTTGAGCTGGTCGACCTCGGAGCTGGCATCATGTTGTCGCCACCGCGTGGCTGGGAGCATCATCGCGTCCACGGCGCTGAAGGCGTGGCTGATCTCGAGGCAGCGATACGGTGCCAGCATCGAGAGTGGATTATATACTCCCCAGCGGAGGAACGGCATAACGATCCATATCGTCATGAAGAATATGGAGGCCAGCCAGTCTGGCATGACATGGAAGGCGCCCTCGGCGGGCGGAGCTGCTCTGCGCGGGGAGCCCGCTTGGCCGCTGAAAGGAGGCATGAGCAGAAGCGGCGGCTGAGGAGGAGGAGGAGGAGGAGGAGGAGGAGGAGGAGGAACCGCATGTGGCGACAGAAGGAGGAGGAGGTGGAGAAGGAGGAAGTGGAAGAGAAAATGCAGGTAGCGGAGGAGGGTAAGCAAATGGTGCAAGAGGAGGGAAGGGGAGGCTGAGGACGAGGTGGAGAATGTAGGAATAATTCTGAGAGGAAGACGGTGTTTACGACGACGATGGGGAAGAGGAGAAGGAGGAGGAGGACAAGCAGCAGGAGGAACAGCAGGATCATAATGTGGATCGAGTGGGGAAAGTGACGACGACAGTGTGAATGGTGAGGATACATGTAGCGAGATTAGGGTGATCATAATATTTGATAGACGGATGAGGAGGGTGAGGAGGATAAGGAGGAGGACGAGCATAAGGAGAAGGAAGAACAGTAGACGGCGAAGGAGAACGAGGAACAGTATGACGATGAGGGGGCGGAGAAGTAGGAGGTGAAAACTAATCCCCATCAAAGGGTTAGGGTTTGATCGTAGGCAGTGGGCCGTCGGGTCACATATCGCCGGTTTGGGTCGGTCTGGGTCGGGGCCTGGTGCCCTGTCGTGCAGGTGGCTGGATATCGCCAGTCACGATGATTTGCTGGGTATCGTTCACGCCTGCGTCCGTCCTCCTCCTCCTCTTCCTCCTCCTCGCTGCTGATCCTTATCCTCCCTCCTCTCCTCCTCCAGGATGACCGTACATTTCGTTTGCGTCTTGTCGGCGTGTCTCTCCCAGAGCCTTTTATTCCATATAATCCTGTCCACTTGGGGTGGTGCATTTCCCCCCCCCGGAGGATCAGACGCTGAACTATGGCTCGCAAGTGGTCTGTCTGTCTGTCGGTGCTCTGGCCCATGGAAGATCGAGGCTCCTCGCACACACCGGACCACACGCCACACCACGCAACACCGCGCCCGCGCCGCACGCGGCAATGTCCCTGGAGAGAGCGATGGTGGAGCGCCGCCTGAAGGAGTGGGCGGCGGACGTGTGCAGCCCGGGCGAGGCGACGCTCTTCCTCCAGCATGTGCCGACGGGCTTCTCGAAGGCCTCGCTGCGGGACGTCATCTGCCGGGCTGGGTTCGGCGACGCGTACGACTATCTGTACCTGCCGATGTGTTTCCTCACGAAGAGTAACAAGGGGTACCCGAAGGAGAAAAGTCGGCATACCCATAAACTTTCGAACTTCGCGCGGATTGCTCGCATCGGCGCCTCCAGCCCCCCCCCCCCTGGCGCGCTTCGCGCGCCAGGGAGGCGGGGTCCAGCAATATTTGATCAAATCCGTGCGAATACCAGAGAACTTATGTTGGTGTCGTTTTCGTTCCTCTAGGTATGCCTTCATGAACTTTGTCAACGAGGACATGGCGGAGCTGTTCATGCGGCAGATGGACGGGTACCCGATGGCGGAGGGCATGGCCCTGGTCGTGACGTCATCCCGAACCCAGGGCCTGGGGGCCAACCTGATCTTGTGGGCGCGCTCCCAGTCGCGCCGCGTCCGGAATCCAGAGTTCCTGCCGTACGTGCGGGCGCTGTCTGCGCTCGGCATGGTCCACCCCTCGGAGCTGTGGTCCCGCGGGCCACTGGACGAGCCCAAGCAGCCCAAACCTCCTCGCGTGGCAGCGGCGCCCACCACCTGGGCGAGCGGCGCACGCGCCAGCGCCTGCGCGGAGCGCAGCTGCGAGCCGCCTGAGGCCAACAGCATCCCCAAGTGCTTTGCAACCGAAGAGCCCAAGCCTCACGTGGCGGCGGGGACTATCACATGGACAACTGGCCCACGCGCCTGTACCCACGCTGAGAGCGGCGGCGACGCGCCCGGCGCGCAGTGGCTGCGCAGCGAGAAGATTCGACACATCGGTATCGGCGAGGTCTGGCGTGGGGAGCACGAGGTTCGACATTCACGTATCGGCGGCTAGCGAGGGGGGGAAACGAGAAGGAGAAGGTTTTCTCAGAAGGCGGCGGGACTTCTCAGAGGCCCTCGCGCCGTCTGAGAGGTTGTCTGCTTTTTCGGGGAATGCTTCGAAAGCTTCTCATAAGGCCGGGGGACATCCGAGCCTGCTGAGAAAGCCCGCCCCTTCTCATGTCCCCCCTTGCCCGCCGCCGAACGTAAGAATGACCCTTCGCCAGAGTGACCTTTGGTGCGGGCTCACCAGGGTCCCCCCGATCGCTGAGCGTGGTGCGATAGTGGCTGCTTACGATAGGTTCATGCGGCGATGGCGCGCCCGCGACGCCTGCGAAGGCGTTCAAGGTTCAATTCTGCGACGTGGACGCACCGAGGAACACGGTGACGCCACTGGGCCCGCCAGAATTCAACTGTTAACGATCGGGACTGCGATCGATTCAAGGTTTAACGATCGACGCGGTGTCACAAATCTTTGCACGCGCCGACGCCTCGCGAACCTACCCTACGCGCTTGGATTTGGCCACCTTGCGCCCTCCTAGTCCGCGCACTAAAGAACACTCTTGCCTACGTAGGGTTACGCTTGCGTGTAGCCAAGAGGTTGAGCTCGGACCTGCAAGGGCTGGCGGCTTCACTTCCGCCATCCTGGCCCACGGCCTCGCGAACGCGGTCGTCCTGGATCGCTTCAGCGTGTGATCGCTGAGCGTGCGGCTTCCGTATCTTTCTTTTCATCCTCCTCCATCCTCCCCCCCCCATACCGTACCCTATGGCCATCTCCCCCCTCTCTCCCATCCTCCCCCCAGTGTAGACTCTTCTACCGCGACTGGGGATGCCGCAGCGGACGCCCTGCGGCATCCCCAGTCGCGGTAGAAGAATCTGCCCCTGTTTGAACAGCCCCCACCCCAGGCCACACCGCACCACGAGCCGCGCACGGTCGACGTGTGTGTGGCGCGCTGGTCGGGACTCGGGGGGGGGGGGGTCACGCCCTGCCCGCGAGCTACGCCCAGTTGACGTGAGTCTGGCGCGGTTGTTGGAAGCAGGCGGTGGCATAGCATACCTGCTCCCGCCGTCCGTCTCCTCTCCTCCTCCTCCTCCTCCTCCTTTTATTTTTGTCTTCCTTTTCTCAGTTTCATCATCAGATCCTTCCTCGACCTCTTCCTCCTCATCACCCTCTATAGGTCCCGCAAGTTGGCGACTGTTGAGTCAAGCCCGCCAGCCTGAGCCCGCTGGCCCGACGCCGCCGAGATATCAGTGGTCTTGAAACCATGAGTCTCCGCGGTTGTGATTTCCACGGGGGCACCTGTGCGAAGCAGCCAGGCTGAATTGACTTGGTAATAATGGATGCAAGTCACTCTCCCCCCCAGGCCAGCATATACATGCCGCGACCAGACGTCTGGCTCGCTAGAGGTTCTTTCATATCGCGCTAGTGGCCCATACAGATGGGCCCCCGCGCGACGCAGTCAGGCAGAGTTTGCAATAATCTGAAAGCTGCCGCCTCTGCCGCCGATCCCAATTTAGGCGAGGGGGAGTGGAGCGGGGAAGCCCGCTATCCGCCCCAATCTTCCCGGGAATGCAGGAGGCCGTGGTCGAGGGAACGATGGCTGGGCGTGGCTTACCGTGCATCGCCGCCCGTCGTCTGGGCCACATCGACTGCACCACATCGATTACACAGCACATATTCTCCTTTCTAACTTTCTAAAACAGTAATAGTAATAGTACCTCTCCCCAGACTTAACGGTCTTCCTTTACGCATTGCAATATGATTGACACCTGATTCTGCCCCATCGTCCACCCTAAATATGGATTCGCACCACGCCAGCCAGGCCAATGCTGCCCCTTTCATCCTCTGCAACAAGCAAATCATATGCGCGCGCACCCGTGCATCAACACTCACCAGTTTTCAAGAGCCCCGTGTACACATTGGGGCGAAGTGCAAACGCGCGCGTCGGCTCGCGCGCATTCCGAAGTCCTTTAGAAACCTTAGGTGCCGTAAGGCATTTGACATCGGGTGTCCCGAAATATATAACAGCATTTGGTCTCCCAGCTTATAGGGTCAAACAGCTCTTGCGATGGCGCTCGTGCGGATTCTTAAGATGACAATTTTCCACAATTTCATAACATGCTACCACACTGGCCTCTCTTGCGCGCGTTTCGGGATCGCAAGAACGCCCTTGCGCGCGTGCTGTCGCACTAATCCTTGGCACAATGGGACGAAGTGCGCACGCGCGCGTCGTCGCGCGCGCATGCCGACATCCACATGACTCTCAGGTTTCGTAGGGCTTTCAAAGTCGAGCGCCCTGAAACACATCGAATCACAGATGGCTTTGCAGCACCAATTTTCTGGAAAAAGGGCCTGTGCTCGCGGTCCTGCGAATTCTTGAGAATACCGTAGTTTGTTGTTACATTCTCATTGCATTATGCCAACCGGGGCCTCTCGCGCCGCATGTCGAAAAACCTTCGTCACCGACGCGAGGGCGCCGTCATCGCCGTCGGCGTGGTCAGCATCGGCGCCGTCACTGGCCGTGCCGTCGTCGTTGTCATCATCGTCGCCAGCATCACTACTATCGTCATCGCGTCTACCGTTGTCGACGCTGCCATGATACCGCGCCCTCCCACGTCTCCGACTCGCACTGAAATGGCCGTTGTGATGCGCCCAGCGGTCAGCGCCACCGTGGCCGCGTCGGCCGCGTCAAGCTAGCTGGCTGCTGCGCGGGCATGCGCGCTAGCGCGGCCGTGGCGATGCGCCAGCCAGCGCCGAGCAGTTATCGCAACCGCCGCCGCATGGGTGTTGAAAACCAAGTTGCTGGTGGGTGGGGTGATTGCGCGAAAAATGGTGTTGACAACTTCAAGGCCAGCAGGGCACCACGTAGGCTGCACCATTTGGATTGCCCCCCGTATGTTGCTCAACATGGGTCGCATCACATGGGCTGCACCATCTGTTTTGCACCGCCAAGTTTTGACCATATGGCCTTCGTCTCATGTGTCACCACATGGATCGCATTATTTTGTTTGTTCCACATCAGTTGCGCTGCATATATCCAGCTGCCCGCGGCAAGCCCCGCCGCCGCGCCTGTGCAACAACGCAATGCCGACGTCTGGTCTGAACTGGGATGGGTGTGGCCTTGACCCCGTCTTCGTCCTCGCGGCATGGATGGAAAAGAGGGGGAGTATGAGGATAATGAGGAGGATGAGGGGGATGCGGAGGAGGAGGAGGAGGAGGAGGAGGAGGAGAAGGATCATATATGAACATTATGCAAACGATAAGATCACTGCCTCATGTGCCCATTTTCTGGGGGCCTCCTGGATGCTTACTGTGAGCCTGTTCCGGGCCTCTTGGGGGCCTCCTTGGGCCCCTGGCGGGCTTCTTTGGGCCTCCTGGGCCGCCTTAGGGAGCTCTTGGCTCGTCTGGCGCTTCTGGGGCCGTCTTGGGGCCCTGTTTGGGCCACTTCGGTGCCTTCTTGGAGCCCTGTAAGCCGCCTTGCGGCCCATTTGGGAGCTCCTTGGGCGATGCTGGGGTCCTCTTGGGCCGATTTGGGGGGCCTCGCGGGCCGTCTCGGAGTTATCTAGATGGAGGCATTTAGGACCGTCTTGGGCGATCGGAAACCCCAACAGGTGCGCACCTCACCTCAAACTCTTACAACAATCGGTGATCATCGTGGATTTGTGCCTCCTCGGGCTCTCCTGCAGGGCCTTTTGAAACACTTTTGGATGCCTCCTGGGGCCTCTTTGGGCTTCCCGGGCCATCTTTGGTGGCTCTTGGCCCGTCTGGCGCGTTCGGAGGCCGCCCTGCGGGCCTCTCTTGGCCGTCTCAGTGAATTCTTTGAGCGCTTTACGGTCGCCTTGGGGCCCACTTGGAAGCTTCTTGGGCGATGTTGGGGTCCCCCTGGGCCGATTTAGGGCCCTCTTGGGGGCCTCGCGGGCCGTCTTGGCGTTATCTAGATGGAGGCATTTGGGACCGTCTTGGGCGATCGGAAACCCAAACAGGTGCGCACCTCAAACTCGCGACAACTTACTGAACATCTGTAACTTTTGCCTCGGGTTCTCCTGGTGGGCCTCTTGGAACCTTCTTGTGCCGTCTTGGGAGCTTGTTGTGCTGTCATGAGGCCCTCTCGAGAGCCTCTTGAGCCGTCTTGGGCCATCTTGAGCCGTTTGGGTGTCGTCTTGGCTGTCTCGGAGGCTGTCTTGGAGGCCATCTTCGTCGTCTGGAGGCCGAACAGAGCGCCGGGGAGCCGCCGGAGCCCGCCACAGTGCGCCGCGTGCGGACGGGCACGCACGGAGGTGCCCTCAGGGCGCGCCAGAGCATGCCGCATGCGAGCGGGGACGCACGGAAGCGCCCTCGCTCCAGAGAGCGCCGCGGGCGAGCGGGCACGCACGAGAGAGCCCGCGGGGCGCGCCAGAGAGGCCGCGGACGAGCGGGCATGTGCGGGAGCGCACTCGGGGCGCACCAGAATGCGCCGCGTGCGACCAGGGGAGTACTGAAGCGCCCTCAGGGCGCGCCCATGAGCGCCGCGTGCCAGCGGGCACGCGCGAGAGCGCCCTCGGAGCGGGCCAGAAGCGCCGCGTGCGAGCTGGCATGCACGAGAGCGCCCTCGGGGTGCGGTGCGCCAGAGAGCGCCACGTGTAAGCGGGCACGCACGCGAGCGTCCTCGGGGTGCGCCAGGCAGCTTAGCGTGCGAGCGGGCTTGCGCGGAAACGTTCCCAGGGCGCGCCACAGTGCGCCGCGTGCGAGCGGGCACGCACGGGAGGGGCCCCGGGGCGTTTTCGGGTTTTCGGCCAGGCGCTGCTCACCCTCCAGAGGCTCCAAGTATTGAGTTTGAGCATGTGGGGCCCTTCAGCGCTTGCAGAAGACCCCCGCGACCCCGATTCGATCCAGAGAGGAGATAGTATACTGTGCTGCGCATAAGGGAAGGAAGATCTAGCCCTCCTTCCGCGCCACTCTGAGACGGGCGAGCTCACTCTCGCCCGCCGGCGTTGTGCGTCTGGCTCTCCGCTGAACGCTTCGGCCATTAGTCGCTCGCTGCCTGACGACTGTCAGCTCCGACGCTTGCTCCGGAGAGAAAAAAGAGAGTGGGAGAGCGAGAGGAATATATGGAGAGAACGAGAGAGAGAGAGGAAGAGAGAGACATATAATAAGAGAAAAAGGGAGAGAGGTATACGTGGCACCCCGTAGTTGCTGACAAGAGTAAGGGGGCGACGGGGACGTCGGCAGTCTGCGAGGCTCTGCAGGAGTCTGCCGCAGGCGCCTACGTTATTTTTTATCATACATATACAGCGTATCGTCTACATATTATATATAAACTATATCTATAAACGAGCAAATAACAAGGAGCCCGCCGCAGGCGCCGATTTTTTCGTTAAAACAATGTCGGTGGGCCGCGGGTGGGTCGGGGGTCTGTCGCGGGTGGGTCGCGGGTGAGTCGCGGGTGGGTTGCGGGCGGGTCGCGAGGTGGGTCGCGGATGGGTCGCGGGTGGGTCGCGGGGTGGTTCGCGGGTGGGTCGCGGGCCAGGTCGCGGGCCGGGTCGGGGAGGGGACGACGACAACAACAATCAATGATAGACGCAATAACACCAACAAGAGCTACAACAACAACATCGGCAACAGCAGCAACAACGCCAGTACCAACAACCAAAAACAAACACCGCAGCGACAACGCCACCACCAACAACAAAAACACCATCACCTTCGATATTAACAG